CACTGGAGACAGGATTCTGGGTTGAAATTTACTTTTTATTAAGCAATTAAAAGTCAATGACCACCCTCTTCTAACTTGAAAGGTTTCAGCAGAGAGATCTGCAGTCATTCTAATATTCTTCCCCTTGTAGGTTATCCTTTTCTTATGTCTGGCTGCTTTCAGAATGTTCTCCTTCATTTTAACTTTGATGATGTTAATTATAATGTGTCTATGAGATGTTTTATTCAGGTTGAGTCATCCTGGAGTTCTGAAACTACTATCTGTATTTCAGAATCTTGTGGCATTTCTGGGAAATTCTCCTTCATTGTATCATGAAGTAGGGCTTCTGTTTATTTCAAAGCCACCTGGTCGCCTTCAGGGATTCTTATAAGGTAAATATTAGTTTCTCCAAATTATCCCAGAGTTCTCTGAGAGAATGATCCATTTTTACTGTCCACTTCTCTTCCTCTTTGAGTGTTTGGGAGCATTCAAATGCTTTGTCTTTAAAGTCAGAAATCCTTTCTTCTTCTTGCTCTGTTCTGTTACTGAGAGATTTAGCTGTATTTCTCAGATCTTTGAGGGCTGCAAGTTCTTGTCTCAATGTGTCAAAATCTTTGGTGATTTTGTCATTGAATTCATTGAATTGTTGAGACAACTTTTGAATTGCTTCTTGAATTTCTAATTCCAACTTTACCTCCATCTGTTAATCTTATTTGCCATCCAAATTTTGAATTGAATTTCTGACATCTCAGCCATTTGTTTATGAATGTGATCTTCTGGTGTGTCCACCATTATCATTCCTTGCTGGAGTTGATCTACTCTGATTATTCATGTTGTTAGAGTTTTTCCACTGATTCTGCCCCATGATTATTTTACACCATTTGGCTAGATGAGCAGATAAGATGAAGTTGGGTTGGGGGCTCCTGCAGTAGGGATTAACCAGCCCTTTGCCCAAGAGCTGGCACTGGTGTCTGTACCTTTTCTCCTAGAGCTTTGTAAGGGATCTGTATAGTGCTACAGCCTGCGACACCAGGGACCTGCTTGGTGTGGTGGGGCTAAGTGGCTCTGTCTTATTTCCAACTGGTCTCTGTCCAATCCTCGTGAATCAGTAACTCAGATTTGACGTCTCAGCTATGGAGAAATACCAGCAACTAAGTCACCCCACCCCACCATGGGCAACAACTGGAAAAGGAATATCAAACCTTCAAACAACCACACATCCAGGATACCACTTTGGATAGTTCTCGGGTGATTGGCCCAGTTCAAGAGGTCCAAATCAGTTTTTCCAGTCAGCACCAGTGTCAGATGGGAGAGTTCAAAATGTCTCTGGCAACTAGATAGCAGGCGTCTTCTGGTAGCTTGAGTATGATTCGCTCCAGAACTCTGTGAGGTCAGAAGGACCCACCCAGAAAATTAATTAGTTTAGGAAGGTTGATGCCTCCTTCCCCACCTTGCAACTCTGTCACACCCAGTCACTGGTAACCCTGCAGGGATGTGACCCAGTTCCCTCCAATGAGCAGATGCTCCAGGGATTTGCGCCTGCCTGAGTCACAGGGAGATCTGTGTCTCCTCGGCCAGGCTGTCACTCTCTGCCACCATCCGGCACAGGGAGCTGAGGGCTGATAATGTTGGGTGATTAATGTAAGATGGGGCAGTTCACTTAGTTCCAGCCCTACCCCTGCTTGACGTTACTGATACCTATATTTTGGCAGAAATTGTTTTTGTTCTGACTATATTCCCCTGTGGACCAGGTGCAGTTTGTGTTCACAAAAACTGTGACTCAGTCTTGGTCTGTGCTGCTACCCAGAGCTGGCGTGTCTGTCTCCGTTGCTGTGAGTGTTGGGGCAGGCACGGTTACAGCTCACACTCAGCTGTCAGTTTCTGCCTCTCCCCACCTGCTTTTGTCTCAGCTATGATCCCTAGATGGCCAGGTACTTCTTAGGCTCACTAAAGCAGTCCTTCTGGCTCAGCCCTCACCTGGGAGTATGCCATGTCTGCACATGTATTCTAGACTCTGTCCTCACTGCAGCCTGCCCAGGCAGGTACTGCCTCAGCCATGCCCTTTGCTCATGGGACCTGTGTTTCTGTCCCAGATCTGTTCCATCAGTGGCAGCCACAGTAGAAGGTGCCTGGCTTCCTCTGGTTGCCCAGAGAGGCAGTGATTTTCTTTCCAAAATATCCCCAGGGGTGTGAGCCCCATTATTTCTGTCACCATTACTACACTGTGACTGTGGCTTACTCCCTCTCCCATATGGTTCCCTCAGTTCATTGTCTTCTCCTTAGTCCCATGCCACAGAATCAACAAAGACCAGCAACGGCCCATACCCTATCTACACCTCTCGAGAAAATGCCCAGGAATTTGGACTCCATGGGGACAGCCTTCCAGACCTCGGGGTGAGAGTGGAGGGGAGTGCTTGGTATTTAGAATTGCAGATGGAGTATATATATAGTTTTACACATTTTTATGCCTGGCAGGAGAATGCCAAAGCATAGTGGTGGGTTCTCTCTTGGGGAAGGAGTTCTGGTTTTTAAGAGGGTCTCTCCTGTGGGATAAAATAGTAGGCAATCTGAACTCTGCTCTATTGTTTATATGTAGAAAGTATACTGTGAGCCATTGTCTTGGGGGAGGGGACTACCATCTGCTTGCCGATAGATTTTGTACCTATTGTTTGTTTCCTTGGGGTCACAGCTTGCCTCAGCAGGGTTGATGTACATTCTTCAACATTCTGTCTTGGCTCAGCTCCAAACCATCAGCTTACTTGCTAAACTTCTGTCTTTTAACTCTCCTTTTAGACAGGAGCCACTGTGGGAAGCTGGCTCCAGTCAGCCATCTTGTCTCCACTCCCCCGCCTTGTTTTTCATTTTTAAGCTAGATTGAAAATTCTTCTTGGATTGGCAGGAGAGTGGTGCATTATATGTTGTAAGTCTATTTTTATTTTCCTTTTTTTTTACTAACTCCTCTGTACATAAATGAGTACATTTATGCCATTATGTGATTCAATGTGTTGATTATTTGTACAAATTGGAGTGCTTACATCCTACTAATCAACATAGCCTTCACCCCATTTACCCAATTACAGCGTTATAACATTTGTGTTCTACACCTGATAGATCCAACTTGTACTTGCAATATGCTCCATAGGTGTGATCCCATTTTTCTTGAATATTTCTGCCTTTGCTGTAGTTCTAGCCACTGGGAATGTTGACGCAGGTGCATCCCTTGAACCCAGGGTATGATGTTGCACTGAGCTGTGATGATGCCATTGCACTCTATCCCAGCAGACATGTTGAGCACCTATCTCAATCAGTCAATCAATCAATTAATTTTTTTTTAAAAAAAGGAAGGGAGAATGTGGCCCACTGAACTTTATGTATTCCTAGTGAAGGCACTATAGTTTTCTGGCTCACATGCCTTTTCTTGAGTCCCACTGTTTCACCACAGGCCTGAGGCACCTTGCTCTTTCCCAATTGACAGTTTAAATATATCGAGCAGCTGGAAGAACGCTTTGTCCTAACTATGTTTTCTGTAATAATTTCTGCCCTGAGTTTGGTCAGGGATGTTGTTCTGTTTGAGCTTTATTCATGAAGTCCTCCAATTATTTATAATATAAGCTCTGTGTGTGTTATTTCACCCATGATCATCTGATCATGGAAAGGAAATGGCCAGATAGATATGTTTAATCTGTGTCCTTGGAATAGTTAGTTCACCTTATTTGAACCTTCATTTCCTTTACAATATCTGCTCAGGATTATGAAGACTAATTGAGATAATGTCTTTTTAAAGTATTTATTGCAATTCCTGGTCTGATATAGGCCTCAGTTAATGAATATTAGCTTTTTACTTACTTTTTTCCTTCATTATAAAAGGAAAATAGTGTGATAAAAAACACATTCCTTATGGGTCACAGGTCACTCAGCTGTGTCCTAGCTTCCTGTCTGAAACACATTTCCTACAGCAATAAACCTTTTGTGATTTTTTTTCTTCATTATCTGTGTGTTCTGTACTGTGTCTCTTCTAGTACCTTGCTCATTGTAGGTGTTCAGTGAGTTTGGATTTTCTTTCTTTCTTTCTTTCTTTCTTTCTTTCTTTTTTTTTTTTTTGCAGAGTTTCACTATGTTGCCCTTGGTAGAGTGCTGTGGTGTCACAGTTCACAGAAACCTCAATCTGTAGGGATTTAGTGATTCTCTTACCTCAACCTCCCAAGTAGGTGGGACTACAGGCACCCACCACAATGCCTGGCTATTTTTTTCTTGTTGTAGTTGTCACTGTTGTTTAGCAGGCATTGGCTGGATTCGAACATGCCAGCTCTGGTATATATGGCTGGCACCCTAGCTGCTGAGCTACAGGTGCCTAGCCTTAATTTGGATTTTCTATGAGTCAACACAAGCTTTTTGCATGAATTTCCTAGCATGATGTTATGAGAATTATAGAGTGTCAGTGTTCGTATGTGACAAACAAACATTTAGTGCTAGTTTGGATGCTGTGTGACTTCTAGTTTTGGTTAGCAGTAGAAAACTTAATTAAGTTTCATTCTCAAGGACAGGAGTGTCTGTGCCCTAAATTTACTTTTTCAACTCTTTTCTGGTAAGTCTTCTAAGGTTTTTTTATTCATTTTTTAAATAGCAGCTTTTAATACATGATAGTGACATACTTTAATAATACCAATAAGTCATTCAAATAGATGGGGCTAAGTTTCTATCCCATGCCCTTTCATGACATATATTTAGTTCAATCTCGTGTTCCTTCCTTTTCCAAAAAATTTGAATGTGTGATTAATGCATGTGAAAAATATTGGAGAGATAAAAAGCTAATTTCAACCCCCTTTTAAGCATAATTCTTTGAGCCACAGCTTCCACAACTTTTGGGAAGTAGAAACTGCTGAGAACAATTCAAGAGCTCATTCTCTGTTATTTTTTCCTTCCCAGGATCTACAGGGATTGACCACATGAACTCTGACACTGTCTTCTTCATTATGATTTCTAAGCAAACATTTAATCTGTGCCTTTTCTTCCATATCTAGGAGCGGAAAAAGAAATTTGAAAAAGATGGTGAGAGGTTTTATTCTTTGCTGGATAGGCATTTACATCTGTCTTCCAAAAAGAAAGAATCTCAGTTACAAGAGGTATGTTCAAAAAGCTTGTCCTTGCATTCCATTACTAACTCTATGCCATGTATCTAATGGAAGGCTTTCTGCATACCCTGTTTTATTTATTTGTGTGTTTATTTATTGGTTTTTTTTTGTTGTTGTTGTTGTTGAGACAGAGTTTCACCCTATGCCTTGATCAGAGTGCAATGGCATCCTAGCCACAACCTCAGACTCAGGCTGTGGGTATCCTGCTGTCTCAGAGGTTCCAGAAGCCACTGAGATTACAGTGGCTCACTGCGGTTCCTTGCTCGGTTTTTCATTTATTTAATGAGTCTAGATCTCACTCTTGCTTAGACAAGTCTGGAACTCCTGAGCTCAAAGAATTTTCCTGCCTTAGCCTCCCACAGTGCTGGGATTATAGGTGTGAGCCACCACTCCAGGCTGTACCCTGTTTTAGTAGGGAAGCACAAGTGATAGCATTTGCAGTTAAAACCTTGGCCTAAAACTTAGAAGCCCTGATTTCTCCACTGAAGTCCCCCACTAACTCAGGGTGTGAACTTGGATAAGGTACATTTTTTCTTGGATGAACTCCCCCTATTTATAAGAAGTGTCACAATAGTTGATGATATCTAGAGTCTCTTTCAGTTCCAATTCTTTGATTCTAGTTTCCACATGAGGATAGAGTTATACTCAAGTTGTATTTATTAAGAGCAGGAGCAGAACATGTACTTTTCCTGTGACATATTTGATAACTTTTTTTTTTTGAGACAGAGTCTCACCCTATGCCCTAAGCAGAGTGCAGTGGCATCATAGCTCATGGAAACCTCAGACTTGGACTGTGGTTATCCTTCTGCCTCAACCTCCCAAAGTTGCTGGGATTACAGGCACTTGCTATGGTGCCTAACTAGGTTTTTCATCTTTTTTTTTTTTTTTATTTAGTTGGGGGTCTCACTCTCCCAAGTGTTGAACTCCTGAGCTCAAGCAATCCTTCTGCCTCAGCCTCCTACAATGCTGGGATTACAGGCGGGAGCCACTGTGCCCGGCAACCTTGTTTTTTTTTTAAGTCCCATACTGGGACTGCTGCTTATCTGGGAGTTGTAGTAACTTCAGTTCAAATAAGCTACTATTCCTTGATTACCTTCCAAATGCCACATAGTACTCTGGGTACAACAGGACTTTCTAGAAAACATGGCATACTTTGGGCTATTCTGAAACTTACAGTTAACATACTATATGAGAATGCTCACTAATCTTATGTCAGTAGACATTTGTGCATACTGTAATGTGTTTGTGTATTTGGTGTTCTTAAGGAGGTGGGAAAGTAGAGAACAGAAGAGTTATGTTTGGTTATGGGGAATTCCCTTTATGGAAGAATGTTGCCCTTCCTATTTAAGATGGCTGTTCAAAAATGGGTAAAGTATTAGATAGACAAGTAGAAATGGACCTTTGAAATGGAGTCCAATGTCTTCAAGGATGAAAAATATGGAGGACAATTGGGAAGTGTTTTGGCCAGTTTACATTTGCATTATAACCTGAGGGTAGGAAAAAACTACTTGGGATAATGTAAGTTGAGGCCATATTGTGGTTTTCTAAGCACAGAAATTTGTATTTTATTGTATTGTACCTTGGGGGTCATTGAAGGCTTTTGGCTTTGGACAAAACATGAATAGAATTCTCATTTAGGAATATTAAAGTACCTGAGGTTGTACAATGAATTAGATCAGGCAGAGACTAGGGTTAGGATAAACAGTTTAGGAAACTGTTGCAGTGAAAAGGACCTGATACAGAAGAGTGACACTGGGGAAGGAAAAGTAAGAATTAATTGATTAAGAATTTTTGTAATGCAAGAGAATATCTATGTGTTAGGTAGAAGATCATGTAAAAGATGGAGTAATTTAAGAGTACAACATTAATAGAGATACCTGGTGGAATAAGATCCTAGATAGGAGCTATAAAGGGTTTTAGAAATCATGTTGCCCAGGCTGAAATAGACTGTGACAGAGGTATAGCTCATCTCCTGATACCTGGTTAAATGGTATCCATCACATTGCCTGAGGTGCATGAAGGTCATGGATCAGGAGCCTTAGGAGTGCATGGAGTTAATATCAAAAAGGAGAAGGGCTATTTTTCTTCCACAAACTGGAATTAAGTCTGATGTTTTTGGTATTTTCCTTTTGACCATTTTTATTTTATTACTTTTACATCTATTCTTGTCAGGCTTCCTGTGTAGGAAAGAGTTGTTATAACACACCTGAGACTGCTATGCTTAGGCAGCTGGTTACTTGACTGGTAAACAGTTCTCTATATTGGTAAGGAAGTTTACATTATAGGGTAAGAAGTACCTCCCTGTTCCTAAAATGCCTGTAGGAATATAATGAGTCTTATTCTAAATCTCTATTCTTCTAGGAGTCTAGAACTTTGGTATATGCTGGGCAGAGGATGCTTATATAACCAGCCCTTAATGAAAATCTGGGGTATATAGTCTCTAATGGGCATCCCTGGGAGACAACACTGTGTCCACTATGTTATTTTAACTCAGTGAAGGAGGAATTAATGTGTCCGGGGTAACACTTATGGGAAGACTGTTGGAAGGTTTTACCTAGCTTGTTGTGGACTTCACCCCATGTACCATTTCCCTTTCTGCATTTTGCTTTGTATTCTTTCTCTAAAATAAACCTTAGCTGTAAATATGACTATGCCGAGTCATGTGTCCTTCAGAATAACATATTTCCTCAGGAATAACAAACATCAGAGATGGTTTTGGGGAGACCCCATAGTCCAAATTTATGAGTCTTTTGTTATTTAATCTTGTAGAGTATCCTAACAGTTTGGTGCTATATTTGGATGTCCTTGGTGACTTTCTGGGTGAGCAAAGATGCAGTCTTTATACTTTTTTAGTAAAAAAAGGCCTGGTTCTGTGAAAGGAGAAATGTAGGGAAAAATGACCTGGGTGAAATTGCATTGGTCATTTCATTTTTAAATTTAGAAATTTTATTTTTAGAGAATTTTTATATTTATGGAAAAACTGAATGGAACATATAGAGAGTTTCCATATAACCCATATTCATCCACCTCTGCACAGGTTCCCCTGTTATGAACTTGCAGCATGTAGTACACTCAGTGGGTTTTGAGAAATGTATAGTTGGCACATATCCATCACCAAAGTATCATATAGGATAGATAAACTGCCCTAAAATTCCTAGGATTTACTCTATTCGTCCCTCCCCCCAAACCCTGATAACCATTGATCCTTTTATGTTCTCCATATTTTTCTCTTTTCCTAAATTTTATATAGTTGTAAACATACAGTATTTTTTTGGTAATTATTATATTCTTTTTTTTTTAATTAAGTCATAGTTGTGTACATTAATACTATCATGGGGTACACTGTGTTGTTTCCATATACAATTTGAAATACTTTCATCCAATTGGCCAACATAGCATTCATGTCATTCTCATAGTTGTTGTGTTAAGACATTTATATTTCACATTTAGAAAGATTCCCATGTACCCTTATAGGATAAATCATAGGCGAGATCCCAGCAATCACCCTCCCTGTACCCATCCTCCCCCTTCCCCTCCCCTCCCTCTCCCCTTTCCCCGTATTCTTAGGCTAAAATTGGGTTATTGCTTTCGTGATAGCTAAAAATTAGTTTCATAATAGGGTTGAGTACATTGGATACTTTTTCTTCCATTCTTGAGATACTTTGCTAAGAAGAATATTTTCTAGCTCCATCCATGTTAACATGAAGGAGGTAAAGTCTCCATCTTTCATTATGGCTACATAGTATTCCATGGTGGACATATACCACAATTTATCGATCCATTCATGGGTTGATGTGCACTTGGGCTTCTTCTGTGACCTAGCAATTATGAATTTGGCTGCATGAACATTCTGGTACAAATATCTGTATTGTAGAGTGATTTTTAGTCTTCTCGATATATACCTAGCAGAGGAATTATAGGATCAAATGGTAGATCTATTTTTAGTTCTCTAAGTGTTCTCCAGATGATTTTCCAAAAGTGATGTATTAGTTTGCAATCCAACCAGCAGTGCTGAAGTGTTCCCTTTTCTCCACAACCATGCCAGCATCTGTGATTTTGTGATTTTGTGATATGGGCTAATCTTACTGGTGTTAGATGATATCTCAAAGTAGTTTTGATTTGCATTTCTCTGATGATTAAGGATGGTGATCATTTTTTCATATATCTGTAGGCTGTGAATCTTCCTTCTTCAGAGAAATTTCTCTCTAAGTCCCTTGCCCACACTGAAATGGGATCACTTGTTCTCTTCTTGCTAATACATTTGAGTTGTCTGTGGGTTCTGGTTATTAAACCTTTCTTGGATACATAACCAGCAAATATCTTTTCTCATTCTGAGAGTTGTCTACTTGCTTTTCTTACTGTGTCCTTGGCTGTACAGAAACGTTTTAATTTGAGGAGGTCCCAGTAGTGTATTTTTGAAGTTGCTTCAATTGCCCAGGGGGTCCTTCTCATAAAATATTTGCCCAGGCCAATTTCTTCAAGAGTTTTCCCTACACTTTCTTCTAGTGTTTTTATAGTTTCGTTAAATTTAAATCTTTAGTGAGAGTCTATGTTAGTTAGTGGTGACAGGTGTGGGTCCAGTTTCAGTCTTCTGCAGGTCGCCAGCCAGTTCAACCAGCACCATTTGTTAAATAGGGAATCTTTTCCCCATTCAATGTTTTTAATTGGCTTGTCAAAGATCATATACTGGTAAATAGCTGGGTTCATCTCTTGGCTCTCTATTCTGTTCCATACATCTACCTCTCTATTTTTGTGCCAGTACCATGCTGTCTTGATCACTATAGATTTATAGTATAGTGTGATGTCTGGTAGCATGATTCCTCCTGCTTTGTTTTTATTCCTGAGTAATGTCTTGGCTATTAGAGGTATTTTCTGATTCCATATAAAGCTAAGTATTATTTTTTCAATATCTTTAAAGTATGACAATGGAACTTTAATAGGTATTGCATTAAAATTTTATATTGCTGTAGGTAGTATAGACATTTTAACAA